CCCTCGTGTGGCTTTGCGCGAAATTCAAAAACAAACAAACACTCAATCCTTTTTTATTTTGCCACACCTTTTTTTTCACACCTAAGGTGTTTTTGATTAGATATCATGACTTTTTGTCAATACACACCAACAAACCACAGCAATTAAGAAAGTGACACTCAGTAGTAACCCATATTAGCTTTAAGATCGCAACCCTATTATTTCGGAACAAACCTTTACTTTACAGAACCAACCAGATTCTTTAAAATATATGATGGTAGTTTTATTCTCTAAAACAGTGTTAATAGCTTCCTATATAGTAACGTCATGGCATTTAGATTAACAATTTCTTGTCATCAACCCCATGCAATCGGTACAGCCGTATCAAGCATCATTATTTATGCTAATTGCTTAAGCTAATATCACGTGACGCTAAACTCTCTTTATAAGGATAATTTCATAAAATCTAGTAAATTTATGTTAAAAAGTTGGCAATGAATTATCAATAATAACTGTTCACCCGTATGATTATTTTGAAAACTTGAGCTAGAAACTGCTAATCAAGTTTGCTTGGCCTAACAATACTTATGTATCTGCACGTCCTTTCACCTTATAGTTTTACTCCCCTAAATCAGCCGTCTTTAATCCGAATGACAAAAAACGGCTCACTTTTACTCTTAGATGAAGCTGTAATAAAAATGTTAGACCGACACCTCACGTGACTTTTTGCGTAGGCATGCGGAAAAGTTTGAGCGGTTTTTGTTGAATAACTTTGCACATGGAGCTTATATTTACACTAAATGAGGCTCCTAATTTTAGGTTAAAGTTTTGTCAGTTTCCCAGCTTTGGAAAAAATCCACAAAAGTTAAGTATGTTTTTCTATCAAATAAAGTTTCCGTACTATTGGAGCGAAGGGGAAAAAAAGAAGGAAGAAACTCAATCAAAATTGGAGATTTTATATCTCGTGTATTTCTTAGCTACAGAAAGTGCAAAATCGCTAAACTATCACTCCTGTTAATAGCACACAGTGTGTCTTGCAGGTTGTTTTGGTCGCACAACCCACAACCGTGTGTCTTGGTATATATTGTTACGTCTCCGTTCGTTAGTTGATTTTCCGTAACTTCGTTCCGACGAAACTATAGCGACACAAGTCCTTACTTAATAAAACTGGTTTATTCTTTCCGAATACAACTTTACGATACACTTAATTTCAACAGTCGCGCTATAACAAACGCTATATCTCACGTGGCCAACAATATTTTGTCCGCATACATTCAATTACTCATTACACTGTTGTCCCGTCACGTTGTCAACGTCTTATATATACAAGACTAACACACATCTAGTAGTCTCCCGATAATTCACGAAGGTTCGAGAGAAGTGGCGTAATACTAGTCACGTGACCTCGCTGACGCAACAATATGTATTTTGGGGAATAATTCACCGGAATACAGAGCACAAACTCACTACGACATTATCTTTTATTGAAATGAAAATAAAGAATTATTGGGTCAAATATGTATATATTTTAAACTATGAAGTTCGGTATGCACTTCCTCTGGAAGTGTTATATCATTACTGAGAACGTTATAATAGTCAAAAAGTATATTCTGTAAACATTTTGTACTTTTTTTCGATAACGTACCATTCATTTCTGCTTAAGAGTTAAAACTGATTTCCTTTTCAAAATGTCACAAACTTATTTTTCATCTGGGGATACAGTGATAAAGAATGTTAGACTATGTTGGCTAATAAAGATTCTCTTCCTAGCTCTGATTGTCAACTAATGTTATTTGTCCGAAAATTAGTTATGTATACATCTGTGTGCATGTAACGAATAATCAACGAACTTATGTATTTTTGCTTATACTGTGTCTAATTTTAGTATCTAGAAATTCGCTATAATGAATTCACAATATACTCAATAGTAACACTACGCTTTTAGACCTTTCAAGTTCATAAGAAATTTACTATTGTAGAACCGAGAGACATGCCAATGAAGACGTTATTAAGGAATGTGTTTCTCCATTTCTCCAAAGACAGTGTGGAAACTTAGTAAACTGAAACATTTTTGAAATTCCTTGAACATATGGAGACTTTTGTAGCGATAGGAATCCTATAGAATGTATCAAAACTCTTCTAGAGAGTAATCCTAGGACGTGACAAAGATTTTCTAGAGAGAGTAATCCTACAGAACGTATTAAACTTTTCAAAAGAGTAATCCTAGGTTATACCAAAACATTTTAGAGAGTATAATCGTAGAACGTATGAAAACTTTTCTAGAGAGTAAACCTAGGACGTAACGAAACTTTTCTAGATAGACTAAACCTAGGAAATACCAAAACTTTTCTAGAAAGAGTAATCCTAGAATGTAAGAAAACGTTTCTAGAAAGAGTAATCCTAGAATGTAAGAAAACGTTTCTAGAAAGAGTAATCCTAGAAAGTATCAAAACTTTTTAGAGAAAGTAATGCCAGAATATATCAAAACTTTTCTAACGATTGTAATCCTAGAACTTATTAAAACTTTCCAATAGAAAAAAAGTAGAAGTGAATATTAATAAGGAATATTTTTCTTTCGAAGTTAATTCGGTGGTGGAAGAATACATAACTGGAAAACGTGCAGCTGTTCTTTAGGACAATGTGACTTAGGCTGCATTATGTGACCTAAGTGGCAGAAACATAGCTCAGCAAATAGCTGCTTTCAATCTGATATGAATTTACTTATCTCT